TAAACTTATTAGCAGTAGCCATGGATGCTAACAATGGGATACTGCCAATAGCTTACGGGGTTGGCAAATTTGAAACCTCTGATTCATGGACATGGTTTATGGGGCATCTTAGGGATTACATAGGTCCTATTAGCAATCTGACAATCATATCCGATAGGCCAAACTCAATTGACAACGCTGTTAGAAGGTGTTTCCCAGATGTTTTTCATGGACTTTGTGGTGTTCATTTGTACAGAAATCTAAAATCAAGGTCTGCTAGTATAAAAAATAACAAATGGACATACTGGAAGGCTATAAAAGCTTATCGGGAAGTGGATTTTAATAAGCATATAAATTGTTTAAGACGTGTTTTACCTCAATGTGCTCAAACACTAGAAGATGTCAGGATTGAAAGATGGTAAAGAGTACATCAACTTGGAGCAAGATATGGTTTCATGACGTCTAATAGTGCAGAATCAATCAACGCTCTAAGTCATCATTCCCGAAAATTACCCATTACTATGTTAATGGAGTTTTTTCGAGCCTCTATTCAACAGTGGTACTACAAGAAAAGAAACCATGCAGGTATTATTTCTTTAAATTCGTAACTTATCATATTTAATATATTTTACTAAGTATTATTTATTTAAATTTACAGGAACATTGGAACGTCGTGTTACACCATGGACTGAAAAAAATATAACGAAACGTGTTATGAAGTCAACGTCATGGAGAGTTGAACCAAGTTCAAACACTTTGTTTGAAGTATTGGATAATAACTTAAATGCGCTTGTCGATCTAAATGCAAAGACGTGTAGTTGTATGAAATGGCAAACATCTGGTTATCTGTGTGGTCATGTTATAAAAGTTGCTCTTCATCTAAACTAAGATGATTCAAGCGCATACGCTATGGATTGCTACACTATAGAAGTATATCGACAGACTTATGCCGAGATTGTCTACCCTATTCCACATCCTTCTGAGTGGGACATACCAGATGACTTACAAACAGTTTTGCCACCAGTCATTGACAGCAGGCTACATGGCCGACCAAAAAATCACGATCGTATACCGTCTAAGGGTGAAGAGAAGAGGATATCGACATGTAGTCGATGCAAGGAAAGTGGTCATACAAGGTTGACCTGTGGATCACCAATGCCATCACAATCATCTTTTCCTCTACTAAAATATGGATCCTCATCAAAATCCAAAGCTCATATGGTGCCAAGAAAAAGGAAATCAAAATCGCAATCAAAATCAAAATCCCAATCACAACCGGCTTCACCTTTTGGGACTTATTAACTTAGGTGATTTTTAAATGCAAACGTTGTATTATGTGTATTTTATGTGTGAATGCATACATTTTCAGTTAGACATGCATTAGTAACTTGAGTTTGAACATTGCTATGATCTGTTCAGTTGTTATCACTTATCAGATTGTTGTCTGTTATCTTTTTGAAGGTGTTTTCCTTGAATTCGCAACGCAAAAGTCAAATTCACGTTGCGATTTTCAAATTCGCAATGCGAAAGTGTACCTTCAACATAATGCAGATTGAAATTAAACAACAAATCAATTAAACAAAAAAGTCAAACGTCTACTAGTAATAACTTGTTTATATATGGTAGTATTTGTGTTAACTTACATCATTCATCATCGTATATGGTAGTAAATATTCCCAATCCAATAGCCGAATCCTCTTCCAGGTAATAGCCCTAGGAATATCATTTGAATTTTTTATGGCATATGTTCGCATGCTGGGAAATGCCTCAAATATCCAAATCTACAAACAATATAATACACAAACATTAATTTTAGTAATTGTTAAATAATTAATTATAATTTTAGAAACATTATATAGAAATTCTTACCTTAAAGGTCCAAATAAAGCCTACCAAAGTGTATTTGGAACCATGGTCACGCAAACTACGACGGTCCTCAAAGGCAGGCGATAACTTTTTCCAGGTAGCTTTCCATAGATATGAACCCCACGGAAACACATTCCATGCATCTAGGTCCTCTACCAATAATATTAAATCCTCAAAAATAGGTTGTCTGCCCTCTTTGCCTATAAAGCCGGCATTCAAAAGTAATAAAAGGCATACTCGGACAACATCAAGGTCATCCATCCGAGTAAAACCATCTTTAAGAAGTAATCTTTTCAAATCGTCGACGTGTAAACTGGGCTTCGCCTTTGCTAGCTCAAGAAAATCCCGAAATAACCATGATGGGCGGGTGATATGACTAGTGTACCGACCTACTTCATCGTGTCATCCGAAATGTAGACCAGTGATTAGGCAAAACTCCTCCCGCCCAAAACAAGTATACGCCGGTGGAAAATGAAACCATATCTCTTCATCACCACGTTGTATCCTCTCGGGTAGATCGTTAGTCATGGTCTGAAGAAACAAATGGGTCAACATAGCATCTCCATCTGGATGTTGTACTTTCAGCCATGGCCCGAAACAAGTTTTCTCAAATAAATTTCTTTGTATAGGTATAAGTGTCGACACAATTGTAGTGACTAGGCTTAATTTATTCCTTAAAGTCAATGAAGCCGAAAAAATTCCTAACAAAAACAATAAACATACCAAGTTAGATATACCAAAAACTACAAATTATACACTATAAACAAACATGATATTAAATAGGGAAAATATAGCCAAATATGTTTCAAACTAGCACGGTATTCACCCAAGTCATTATTCTATCATAGTTCACAAAATGCATCAGATAACATTCCAGAAGTAAGCACTTATATAAACATTTAAAAGGACAACATATAGGTTTAGTGCAGGTTCAAGGACAACATAAAGAGTAGTAGTTTATTCTTGAAACTTAAATTCGCAACACTGTGAAGTTAGTATTTGTCTTTGTTTTTTGGTTGAAGTAATGTAATTCATTCAAGTTTCAATTTGCAGAAGAAGAGTAGTTTTTTAAACTTAAATTCGCAACACGACAATGGAATCGCGTTGCGAATTTCATTTTCGTGTTGCGAATTTAAGTTTCAAAAACTATTCTTCTGCAAATTGAAACTTGAATGAATTGCATTACTTCAACCAAAATACTAACTTCACAGGGTTAAAGACTAAACAGTTTAGCAGTATTGGCAGCAACCGAATGTATTTAATAAGCAATCTAAGTGAAATGGTTAATCTATATATTGAAATTACCAGTAAATTTATCATCAATTTAAATATGAAAAATCTAATAATAATACAAAAAAATCAAAATAAAAATAATTAAAAAAACTAACCATCGGTGGTTGATTTTCTATTTGTGGCCGTGAATGGTTGTGAGAGGGTGGCTCTGAGAGATGGAGATAGAGGGGGGACGCCGGATATGGAGACGGATGTCGCCGGAGATGGGGACGGATGTCGCCGTAGAGATTGAGAGATGGAGATGGGACTGAGTTGTGATTTAGGATTTTAGGTTATGAGTTGCGATTATACTGTTTACATTTGTGTTGCGAAATTAATATTGTGTTTCGAATTTGAAAATAAAATTCGCATTGCGAAAATAAACACGCTTTGCGAATTTGACTTACATGTTGCGAATTTGATTTTTGTGTTGCGAATTACAAATTCGCGTTGCGATTTACATATTCGCGTTGCGAATTTGGAAAATCGCGTTGCGGAAAAGAAATTCGAGTTGCGAATTTCAAAATTGAGTTGCGAATATGGGAAATTCGCGTTGCAAATTTAGAAACTGTGTTGTGAAATGGGTGTTCGCATTGCGAATTTGTTGGTCATTTTCGCAAATCCAAAAAAAATTGGTTAAAATCGTATATTATAAGGCATCTTCGGTCACTGAAGTTATTTTCTCTTGTTTAAATTTAATTGTGAATATTTATAATATTATGGTACTAATTGATTTCAATTTAAACATATTATAACATATATCATGCATAGAGTTGAGGGACATGACTCTTACTTAAAAGTCAGTCCACAAATTCCTACAAATTTTAAATTATTTGAGTTCTATTTAAGACGAGTTTATGAAATTAGAAGTCGAATAGAGTTTTTTAGTGTCAAATCAAGTTGAAAAATTTAATTTTTTCCCCGAGTCGTCAGTATAGATATGTTCATCAATGGGAAAAGTTTAAGAACTTACAGATGTACGTAGAGTGGAAAATTCAAGTCTTTGAGCAATGGAGATGCTTTGGAAAAGCTCCATGAGTGATATGGGGCTGGAACAGCGCAAAGGTGAACGAATATGTGTAACAGCAGAAGTTAAAAAATGGTGAAGCACTCATGCTAAAACCCAGAAGAGAATGTTCCATAATATCGAGATATTCAAGCTTTGGTGCTTCAACAACATAAAAACTACAAGAGCCTTCATATTGTACTCGACGTTTCCATCTTAGAATATTCAATGAAGGTGAAATAACAAAAAACCTCCGGTTTCTGATACAATCGGATGCTGATGGTTCAATGAGGGTTTTCAGGTTTTATCACTGATGAAACGTGCATAACCCATGAATATGAAAGGTAGAAGCTTTTTACAGGCACTGTTCTGTAATGGCCGGTTAAAACCTTGTTGGTGAAGTCGATGAAGTCTTCTCCCATGGACTGATTCAAATACAAGGTGATATTCTGAGTCAAAGTCCATACCTTTTCCCATCGTTTTGATAAAAGACGGGTTCTGAAAACATCCCTTAGTTCCAAAAAGGACAGAATGTGAGCCAGAACACCGTCCGGTGAGCTGCTGATAATGTCTTCTTCTTCTTCTTCCTCTTCCATCATCATCTCCCTGCTTTTGGGTTTAGCTCTACGTTTCCTTTTTGGATACATGTTACTATGAAGCTAATGCCCTAATATTTTGTTAAATTTAAGATAAACTATACTTGTGACCACTTAATTATTATCTTTTTTACAATCAAGTCACTAGATAAACTTTACAAGTCATGGAAAAAAATAACATACCTTCGAAATTACATATTCCTAATCCAAAGTGATAAAGAGATTTTGAAAATTAACATACCTTATCAAAGATTACATATACATATACGTATACTTAATACAATAAAACATTACAGTTACAGGTCGACAGAACATTTCGACGTTGTTGCCTCATCCATGGCGTTATTCTCAGTATGATCTTCAGTCGACATTTGGAGAGAAAACAGAAAAGGTTTGGGAGGCAACTCAAGCTGCTCAACTCCATTTTCAAGCATTTCCAACACTTTGTTCATCGAAGGACGGTTAAGGGGTATCATTTGTATGCACCAGAATGCAGCCATGATCATTTTCCTCGCAATCTGTTCATCAACTTCAGTCACATCTCCTAACCCCATGCTCTCCCCTTGATCAAATCGATCATATATCCATGATGGAAAATAAATTTGACTCAGATGTTCAACCGATACATTCAGATTCTTTCTTCTTCCCACCATCTCCATTAATAACATCCCGAAACTATAAACATCAGCTTTGTATGAGATGCCCCCAATGTTTTTGTAGAACAACTCAGGAGCAATGTATCCTAATGTACCACGAGCTGCTGTGAGAGAGATGATACTGTCGTCCACTGAATATAGTTTTGCAAGCCCAAAATCAGATACTTTAGGGACAAAGTTTTCATCCAGAAGAATGTTGTGTGGTTTTATGTCGAAATGTAGAATCTGCATTTGGCATCCTTTGTGCAAGTAGTCGATCCCTCGAGCCACACCGAGTGCAATCTCCAGCAGGTTTGGCCAATTTAAACTGCAAGTTTCCTTTGAAAATATGATTTTGTCTAAAGATCCATTCACCATGAAATCATATACAAGAGCTTGTTTCGATCCCTCTACACAGAATCCAATGAGTTGCACTACGTTCATGTGATGAATCCTTCCGATTGTCGCAACTTCACTGATGAAATCTTCTCCATTTGCTTTGGATTTGCCTAGCATTTTTACTGCAACAAACCGACCACTACGAAGCTTTCCTTTGAACACAGAACCGAACCCTCCTTGGCCTAATTTTACTTTGAAACCTTCTGTCATTCTTTTTATTTCATGGTAAGAATATCGAATAGGCATGAAATTATTTTGACTTTGAAGAAAGTTTTCAATGGTGTCATCCATTGATAAATGTCTTCTCCTACACTTGTGTGTAACAAGTGCAATCAAACAAAATATTCCCAGCAAAGTTCTTGCTAATAGTATGCCTGTTTCCCCATGAAAATCACATACACAAATTTTTATCGTTGAACCATATATATATGCTTAGTAAAATGTTGGGAAAGTGAGAATTACCTGATATTGCAAGACAAATAAGGTAGCCTCCTGTAAAAACACAAATTGAACAATAATTGCATACTTGAATACAGAGCGTAAAGCAAAGGTAAACCCATTAAAACAAAATACATTATCAAATCTAAAAACTAACCTTTTCCATAGGAAACATATTGGCTGAAGTTTCCCGGAAGAATAAAGGCCAGATCGTTTTGTATATATGCAATAATTAGAGTTACCAGATTTATCGCCAACTTTAGCAATCTAGAACACCCCAAAAAACCAACGAATCCATTAACAAGACCGTGAAAATATATGAAAGAATCTAAAGAACGAATCCTAGAAAACTCACACTTTGAGAATCGGGTTTGAAGGCCAAAAGTCGAGTTTATACCATGACACCTCGACGCCTTTCAACAGGTTTCTGTAAATATCAAAAGTGGATAAGCCACTGATATTAGAAAGCATGAACGGGAACTGGGCTACAAATCTGCACGACTGGTGGAAATCGGATATGTTTGAATAGGCGCCCGAAAAGTAGAAGTAGGTCCATGGCGAGGAAGAGCTATTGGCTCGGCAACGAGAAGCATCAACATAAACTGAAGAGTTCATCTTTGTCGTGCAATTCACGAGATACATGATGTGACTTGGATACCAACTTATCATGTCTACAAGATAATTGTTCGTTACGAAGGAACTGTGAGGAATCGAGCAGTTAACGTCGACCAGACTCGCATCCACGAGTCGAAGCGTTTTGTTAACATAAGAGATGTCTAGGACATAAAATTTCCCATATTTCATGGGCAGACTGATTCGGTTTCTCATGCACTCAAGTTCAATACTTTTGTGACCGCACTTGTGAGGTTGACCTTTTAGTCGAAAAGGCCTCCTGATTTCAACGTTTCCACACATAGAAGGGCCGCACTGGTTGCTTCGGCCTGGTCTAGCGTCAGAAACATCCGGGGATAAAGATAAAGTGAGTACCAAGAAGCTAAACAAGAGATGTTTAAATCTTAACATCATGAAGTTCCGGTGGAGCTCCGTTGGGGAAATAAACAATGGGATGTTATTTAATCTTCACCGTCAATTATTCATTTATTATATGGCTGTAACTGAAAGAAGGAAATATCTACATTTGAAAAATCAACAAACTAATAAAGAAAAAGTGGAAAAAAGGGTTAATATAAGTCGGTCAATGCTTGGAAAAGCTGACACACTCGACTGCGACTGGACGGCTAATGGATCCCTTCACGGCAACCCACTGGCCGGCTAGGAAAGTTGTAATTTAAAGTCTTTGTTGACTGTCTACTCACCGGTTTAAGAACTTGTTAATGATTTTGATGTTGAAAACGAAAAAGGTAACTTCCGGGAAGCTGATGAATCAAAGCATACATTTAAATATGTTTGTTTTAACTATAATAATTTTTTTTATAATATGTCTTTAAAATTATAGTTTAAATATGTTGTTAATCCTCCTCTTAACCGACACAAAGCATTGCTATTGGTATTTTACTCTGAAGAACTGAACCACCGATATCAATGGAACGTTTCACTTCAGGGGCTCACGAGTTTCTAATACCAATGGTATTTTACTCATTATTCTGCCTTGTCTTAACTGTCAATGTTGCAGGTGCTGTCTCGATACAAGACGACTGCCACGAGCGGCGGTGCAACAACCACGAGCCACCCGTCCGGTTCCCATTCCGATTACAAGACCAGCAGCCACCCCACTGTGGCTATCCTCATCCCGGGTTTCAACTTTCGTGCTCCGAAAACAAACAGACCCTGCTGAAGCTTCCTCGTTCGATGAAGCTGTTGGTGAAGCGCATCGATTATGATGCTCGGTGGATCAACTTGTACGATCCCAGTCGTTGCCTCTGGCGACAGCTTTTGGATCTCAATTTATCTACTTTTCCATTCGTGGACGAAATCGAACCGGCTGCATCCTACACCTTGCTAAACTGTTCAAGCCAAGATGAAGCTTTGTATAAAGGAAATAGAGTCGATTGCTTAAGCACCTCTGCCTCTCAAATTATAGCTTTTCGTTCTGATGGCTATGCATATTTGGATAACTTGTTAAATTGCAGCATGATTGGCAACATCTCGGCACCGATTTCTCCATACTTTTTCCGTTTTCGATTAAAATGGAATAAACCAGATTGTGGTGATTGTGAAGCTCAAGGCAAGGGATGTAGACTGAAGACCAATAGCACAGAGGATCAAACCGAGTGTTTCTATATCCCCAAGCACCGTATAAGTATGTTTTCAGTTTACTTGAAAGAGAAGCTTAAATGTTATGGTGAGCCCTTTTGCTCAATTTCCCATGTATCAAGCTGAATGATTTTAAATGTTTCGCAGGTGTACGAGAAAGGCTGATGATTGCTGGTAAGTTGGATTTTCCTTTTGACTTCAGTTTGTTAAGACAGATGATAAAGCATGATCTAACACATGATTAACGTATGGTTTGCAGGTATTGTCTTAGGTTCTTTGATTCTTGCAATGATTTTCATTGCAGTCGGCTGGAGATATTACTCAGAAAAGAAGAAGAAAGAAGGTTTACTCAAGATTGAAATGTTTTTGGAAGATTACAGAGCGTTTAAACCCTCGAGATACTCCTTTGCTGATGTTAAAAGGATAACTAATCATTTCAAGGACAAACTTGGACAAGGAGGTTATGGAACTGTCTTCAAAGGCAGACTTTCCACTGATATTTTGGTTGCTGTCAAGGTACTCAATAACTTCAAGGGAAATGGTGAAGAATTCATCAATGAAGTGGGTTCAATGGGAAGAATCCACCACGTGAACGTGGCACGTCTGGTCGGGTTTTGTGCCGATGGATACGATCGAGCTCTCGTTTATGAATACCTACCGAACGAGTCATTAGAGAAGTTTATATTTGCAGCCAGGGGAAAGGATCGATCCCTTAGTTGGGAGAGGCTTCATGATATTGCTCTCGGTGTAGCCAAAGGTATCGAGTACCTCCATCAAGGTTGCGAGCAACGAATCCTCCATTTCGACATAAAACCTCACAATATCCTGTTGGATCATAACTTCACCCCCAAGATATCTGATTTTGGCCTTGCTAAATTGTGTTCCAAGGATCAAAGTTCCATCTCGATGACAACTGCGAGAGGAACCATGGGCTATATCGCACCCGAGGTACTGTCTCGCAACTTCGGAAATGTCTCGTATAAGTCCGATGTTTATAGTTTCGGAATGCTATTGCTGGAGATGGTCGGAGGGAGAAAGAACATCGATGATACAGTGGAGAATACGAGTCAGGTATACTTCCCGGAATGGGCTTATAATTGTTTGGATAAAGGAGAGGAGCTGGGGATCAGAATTGAAGATGAAGAACAAACAGAGACAGCAAAGAAACTCACAATCGTTGGACTTTGGTGCATTCAATGGTACCCCGTCGATCGTCCTTCGATGAAAGACGTGGTTCAGATGTTAGAAGGAGACTTGCATGTTCTTACGATGCCGCCGAATCCTTTCGCATCGACAGATCCGACGAAGATGGGAGCCACCATACCTAGGAAACCGGTTAATAGAGAGCTACCTACTATACCTGAAATAGAATAAGAACAATCTCAATATATATATATATATTTCATTAATAACATTTTCAAAACTACAAAAATCAGTTCTATATGAGATGCTAGTTTTCCTTCTTTGGTGTTTTCACCACAGCATGATGATTTTCCTTGGAGATATCTGGTTTCACATTTTCCTCAAAGAATCCTTGCATGTTAATTAAGTGATGGTCATCTTTTTCAATATCTTCCCATTATACAAAGGGTATAGAATCACTTCAGTTGCACAAACGCTCAAGTTGATGTGACCTTTTTTACAACCATGCTCAGAACCAGGACTCAAAGAGAGACAGAAGACCGAGCCATCCGGGAATTCTGATGAATTTGGGCCAGGTTTGTCAGAAGGGAGTAATGAAGTCCCAGAGGAATGAATTATGTGGGTCACAAATGGCTCCTCCTCCATTGCTACTCGGGGACTGTATGAAAAAGCCCGTCCCACTATTTGTCATAGTCGGTGCCCAAGGGCACTTTGGTTGATGTGATTGTGCCACCATTTGCCCCTAATAATTTTGATTCCGCATTCTCTCTGTTCAAACAAGAGCTCTGGGTTGTGGGCTCAGACTAAGCTTATCCATAAAACCAATTATATGAGGGACATAATGTTTTATCATTGGAAAAGGCAGAAGAATCTTGTTCATGTGCTTTCTTGGAGTTTTCAATTCCTTTTTCCCTAAAAGCAAATGGAGTTACATGAGGATCACAAGATACAGAGGAAAAACCCAGATAGATGATGCCAAAAAAGGATATTAATCCCTTTGTTTGGCATTGGAAACACTGTCAAAATCAAAGTCCAAGTCTCATATAATCTTAACTTCTTATATGTCCATGTCTCATGATACAACCTTTATGTCAACATCTACTAAGACTACATGCCCCCATTGCTCACAAGCATTTTTCTAACCATGTGTTTTGTTTTGGCCTAATCACAAACTTCATCCCTCTACTTTGTAGGCAATGTATTTTGAGGCAAAAATCAAGTAAAGTTAGGAGCAAGGTTGATGTCATTGCATATCTTTACAAAATCCCAACAAATCCTTATCTTTTTGACAAAAATATATATATATATATATATATATATATATATATATATATATATATATATATATTCATGTGCATGTGACTCACACGGATGAACCAAGAAGAAACAAACAAAAAGATCCAGAGTTTTTCATTAAGATTGAGGGGCCATCCTCATGTGCTGGTGCTGCTTTGGGCTCACCTTTTATTAACTCCATAACTCGACCACGTGTGTGATATTATTGCGATGACCTTTTAAAATCTTATAAATACATCAATAATGGCTAAGTATACTGTTCTCATTGATTTCTCAACACCGGCACAACATACCCATTTGGTTCAACAAGTTCATAACATTATAGAATCTAACTGTAAAAATAAACTTATGAATAGTCTTCTATACATATGGTACCTCTAATATTTACCTTGAGGAAACAGGGTTCAAAGCTCTACAGAAGCCATTCATGGCGCCATAGCCTTTTGAACTGAACCCCAAGCACCCAAGTAGGCCTTGCCTGTAAGGCAAAAAGGTCTTCTTCCTCATTTCTTCGGCTTGTGCTCTATTTGCAGTGTAATGCAGCTCATGTGGAGATGGTGGAACCACCCTCCTTTTCATTACCCCATTGACAGGCTTATTGTTGATCTTATTGCTTCTTTGATTCTCTGCTGGTTTCTTTTCTTTTGTTGCTTGAGAGAATGAAATGGTTGACCAGAACTTGTTGTTGCTTCTTCCAGTTCCTTCACTCTTGCTCCTCAAGAAATCTTTGAGAAAAATCCATCTCTTTGAGCTTCTTCCTGCTGAAGAAGACCTTGAAGAAGCAGCACTTGTTTCGTTGATGTCGGCTTTCTTGTACTCCAAGCTTTGAGTTTGGTCATCAATGGTGAGACCAAAAGTGGCATTATTGTTTCTCAAAGGGGACATGGATCTTGTCCTTCTCCTTAAACTTAACGACTTAACCCTCAACCTCAGATCTCTACCTCTTTCTTTATTATCATCATCTTCTTCTTCTTCTTCTTCTTCATGTTGAATATCCATCAAAGGAGCCAAGGCTTGTGGCCTTTCCAAATGAGTGGACAGCTTCATAGGTCTGATCTTCCCATTCAAGAAAAGCTCATCAGCCGAGCTCATGGATCCTGTTTGACCCGACCGTGATGAAGAAGACCCGTATCTCGCAGAGAACTCGAACTCAAAACCGAGTGCCACTGAGTTGTTGTTATCAGGAGAAGATGGTTGAGTTGATGATACCTTTGAAGCAACCGAGGTGATGGAGAAATGCATAGGACTGGATGGTGCACTGTAATAGAACCCACCACAACCATAGCCATTGATGGAGCCGGGACCCGGACCAGGCGCCCGACCAGGGCTTGAAGGAGCACTTACATAGGGTGTGGAGCAAGTGCTGTCATCATAGTATTCATGGGAATCTAAAGTTTGACCATTTGGGGTACTTTCTAAGGTTGAGTTTGATTTGTTGTTGGGGTTTTGAAACTCCATTTTCTTCTTATTTTGTGTGACAAAAGCTCAAGGAGGAAGGTTGTGGAGAAAAGAGATGGCAAAGCTTTTGAGTTTGGGATTTGTTCATCGATGTGGTTTTTGTGAGATGGGGAGTGATTTATGATTTGTCAAATACCCAAAAAATGTCAGATGGGGGGCTTTTATTTTTTTATAGGGTAAACTACATATTAAATACCTCAACTATCACTTTTGTTCCATTTTGGTCACCCAAAAATATATTAAATACTAGGGCAAAATACACATTATTACCTAAACTATTACTTTTTTTATTTTGGTACACAAACTTTTTTTTTTCAAAACCATACCTAACATTTAATTTAAATTTAGTATTGTGTGTTAAAAAATTAATAGAACTACAGATGTGTCATATTTTATTTTTTTCAATGATAATGTGGCAGTCAACATCATTGTTAAGTTTTTAACGACTGAGTACCAAATTGAAACCTAAACTAAACTTTATGTATGGTATGAGAAAAAAATAAAGTTTAAATATTAAAACATACTAAAAATGATAATTTAAATACTAAACATGTAGTTTACCCTAAATAAGATTAGTCATAGGAATATTTCTCTCCATTGGATTGTAGACCTCTATCAAGGAAGTAGATTTGAAATGAAGTAAATCCCTATTCCATACACAAAAACAAATTTTAAATTCAATTTCACCCAAAACTCAAAAGTCAATGCCAACTAAATTGATTAAGAAATAGCCTGCTTGTAAGGGTGAATAATGGGAGCTAAATGTCTCCCAATTTGTAGCATAAAAAACTCTATGCAAATAAAAAAATTAAAAATAAAAAGAGTTAATTATATCATAGGCTTTCAAATTATCATTTTTATTATAAATTAATATCTAGACTTTTAAAAGTTTCAATTTTATTCATAAATTATGACTCTCATTTTAAAATGCTTCTCAAACTTTTGAACATTTTAATTTTATCTCCAAGCTAGGACTCTTATTCTAAATCGGTCCCTTAAAATTTTGAATGTTCTAAATTCATCTCAAGTTATCGGTATATGCTATTCATGTTCGTTGTTAATAAAACAATTTAAAAACATGAACTATTATATAAACACTGACGTGTACTCTTTAATAATATCATGTGACATAAATGATAATTAATGTTTGATTTAAATAAAATAATATTTTAACTTTGGAATATAAACAAATTATAAATAATTTGAGAGAAGAAAAATAAAAAAATAAATAACTTTTTAATTTCATTTTAAATAAAAATTTTAAGGTACGTTATACATCATTAATTATCGTTTGTGCCACATCATATTATTACTTAATACGCATCGATGTTTACATGATAGTTAACGAATTTTTAACAGTTTTATTAACAAGTGATGTAATTAGCATATGCCGATAGTTTAAAATGAAATTGGAACATTCAAAACTTCGATGATTAATTTAGAATAAGGGTCATTATTTAAAGATAAAATTAAAATGTTTAAAAATTTAAAATTCGATTTAAAATAAGAATAATAATTTAAGAATGAAATTAGTATATTTATAATTTTAAATTAAAATAATCATTTTTATTGAAATTAATTATTAAAAAATAATTACAAATTCTAAACATAAACAATGAAAATATATAATACAAGACATGTTGAATTGAAGGCATGGGAGACAGCTGTGTCCTACAAGGCTGAGGGTCCTGCACTGGCACCTACATCACCCTGTCTCATGATCAATAATTAATCATTTTTGTACTAAATTAATATGATAAGAGATGAATAAATTAAGGGTAAGAGAACTTTTTAGACCCTAATCAATGTTAACATTGACCCTTTAAATTAATGAGAAGGATTAAGATCTGTACATGCTAATCTGTAAACACCTCTGAAGACTGTCAATTTTCAGTTCCCTGTGCCCAAGAAAGAAGAATATTTGGTAGCATTTTGTAGCCTTGGGAACCAATCAAGGCTTAGCTTGTGTAACCCCCTAGACCCGGCCTAAACGTTAGACCCAAATCTAAGCGGGCACATGTCCCATTCAGAGATTTCTTTATATTTAAAACACTTATATTACATTATTTATAATACAAAACAAGATATTAGTAATACAAATAAGTCCAAAACGATAGCAAATACATGTCACCAAACACAACTGAAAAACATATAGAGATATACGTTCGTACAAATTAAGTAGTTGATCTTCCCTGATGCCAAATCTGCTAGCTTACGGTCTTCTACTATCTGAAAAAGGTTAAAAACTACAGAATGAACTAAAAAGCTCAGTGTGCTCCATACAGTATATAATAAAAACATACGGATAAAATCTTTCAATGAAATCGGTTTATGCAACATGTTTTTAAAACATGAACACTACCCCCATCCGTTCACATCATAATTGTGTAGGTTCCCCAGAACCATACACCCAACCGCACATGCCATTTAGACCCTGAGCACAAAGCCGAGAAGTCTGCAGATAATCTTCCTTCAACAATACCCACCCAAATGACAATGAATGTATTCAAATGAAAACAATGATTAATCACTTAAAACATAACAAATATTTCATGCTTAAAAACCATATGCAGAAATACGAAAATCAGAATTCAAATCAATAATTCAGATATCAGATAAGCAGATCTCAGAAGTCGGTATGAAATACCTTAATTCAGAAATTATATCAGAATATACAGTAAATCAGATATCAAGTATTCGGTATTCAGATAAATCATTTAAATCAGTAATATAATACTGTTAGGAAACACACCTGTAACAGTCTGAGAAATCGGATAGGGAAGCCTACTACTGGATTTGTCGATCACACTCTGCTGCAGCGCTAGATCCTACGAATTGGAAAAATCCTTATTGGAATTCTAATAAAAAAAATAATCTTAATCTTTACTTAAATAATATACGGAAACCTACGGGCAGTTCTTGTAATACGCGGTTCGGACTGATCTGACGAACGGACAACACCGGACCTGACTGATCCTTGCTCAGGTGAAACACGAGTACCTTCATAAAATATCTTACTTAATCAATTTCTTAACCATATATCAAAATACTAAAATACTAAGCCTTTTTAGGTTCACAAGCTCGATTCGGGAATTTTGGGTCAGAATTTGGCAAAACGGACTTCGGAATCAAACTCAGGACGTCGAAAAACATAAAGTATGACCTTCCGAAATTTCGAATTCTCGGTCAAAATCAAAGTCAACGGGTTTGACTGACGATTTGGAGACTTCTGGGTTCGAATTTGGTGAAACAGACCCCAAAAACGGATTCGGGACGTCGAAAACTGTCAGGATAGGTGTTTTCGGAAAAGATTAACGATCGTTTAATAGCCGGTCAAAGCCGGTCAAAGTTCTCGTCAAAGGAGGTCAACAATCTGTTGAACATTTTACACAAATATCACCCTTTTTCGAATTATTTACCAGAATAGCACCAAAACTGAATTATTTACCAGAATAGCACCAAAACCGAATTATTTACCAAAATAGCACCGGTCAACGGTCAACGGTCAACGGTCGGGTCGGGTCAACGGGTCGGGTCAACGGGTCGGGTCGGGTCAACTATCGGGTCGGGTCGTGACAGGTCAAACCGGTCAAACCCTTAAGAAAACCGGTCAAACCGGTTTTTTTTCAAACATTCACTCGCCCACCGGCGGCGCGTGTAGGCGCGTGAGACGTCTTCCGGGACTCTAAAAATTCCGGAAAAATTTCTAAAAATTATTTTCAGTGATTTCGAGATACTTACAAAGATCAGTTCAAATTTTTGAACGGCGGAGAGCTCGATTTCATCAAATCGGAAACTTTGACCGCTTCACCTCCCCACGCGCCGCCGTCGACGGAGATCGAGGATGACACTGGCGAACTCGGAACGGCACAAGGAACACGATGGTGCGGGAGGTGTCGTAAACGGAGCAACGATCGACGATGAATTTAGGATTTTCAAGGCGATTGAGCTAAAAAAAACGTCGATGCTTTGACTTGAAATTCACGACGTTTGGCAGCGTTTCGCTTCAATTAAATTGAGGGGATTGTTCCTGACTCGATAACGAACACGATGGTGCTTTCAAAACAACGATCGGAATTCAGACGGCGTCGGAATCGGGGTCGGAAGTTGAGGCAAGGAAATGGAAATTTGGGAGGAATTGGGTTCTGATTTTCAGAACCCAATTCACGCATAAATCATATATATAAACCAAATACCTAACTTTTTTGGGTAAATTCAGGGCTTGGTCCCTGAATTTCCTTTAACTCTAAAACAAGCTTCAAGTTTTAAAATCTTTCAATTTAGTCCCCAAATTTTCACCAATTACACAATTAAATCTTCAAATCCCAAATTAATATTATTTGAAATTTTCGGGTTGTTACAATTCTCCCCCTCTACAAGAAATTTCGTCCTCGAAATTTACCTTATGAAAACAGATGAGGAAATTGAACCTCCATTGACTCCAATGTCTCCCAAGTAGCTTCTGAGGGGCTACGGTTACTCCACAGAACTTTGACCATTGGAATACGCCTATTCCGAAGAACTCGCTCATCCCTCTAAAACATGAACAGGCTCCTCCTCATATGACAAATCAGGTCTCAGCTCTACCTCATCAACCTGAATGATGTGATCTGGATCTGGACGGTATCGCCTTAACATAGACACATGAAAAACATCATGAATACGACTGAGCTGGGGAGGCAACTCAAGCTGATAAGCAACAGGTCCAACTTTCTTCAGAATACAATACGGCCCAATAAATCTCGGACTCAATTTACCCTTACGTCCAAATCTCAATACCTTCTTCCATGGAGATACCTTGAGAAAAACCTGATCTCCAACCTCAAACTCGATATCCTTACGTCGCTTATCTGCGTATGACTTCTGCCTATCAAATGCCTCTCTTAAGCGATCACGGATCAGTCTGACAGTATCTTCAGTCTCTCGAACCAAGTCTGGACCCAAAGTCTTCCTATCATGCAATTCAGTCCAACATATAGGAGTACGACATCTACGTCCATACAGAGCCTCATACGGTGCCATGCGAATACTCGCCTGATAACTATTATTGTAAGCGAACTCAGCTAATGGCAAGAAA